TAATTGGGAACGTTGTAGTCATTTAATTCATTTTAATTTTTTTAATTTAGAAATTGAATGGATTCTTCAGCTATCGATAATTCCCCAAATTCTCAATCAAATAACGATCCCAATCTTTTGGTTGAAAGTGGTGGAGAACAATCTACTAAGAATAATTATTCTGAAAATCATGAATCAACAGTCAGTTTCAATAAGCTATTTGACCCAAATATTTTTGGGAATTGGATAAGTGGGACAGGAAGTAACGATCATTTGAATTCAAATATACCTAAACCTGTAGTAGATAATAATAGTTTAAAGAAAGGTCTTGATTCAATAAGATTATCAAAACAATCGGACTTTTCAATAATTTTAGAACAAGATGAAGAATTGGACAAATCTTTTGAGAATGTATTGGTATGTTTCTCATCCTTAATAGGTTGTTTATAAATATCTTAAATGTTATGGATAATTAATTAATTAAATTTTAGGATGAGATGAATATTCATGGGTTACCACGTAATAAAATGTTGCAAATGTCAGAAGATCATAAGAAGATATTGATATTTCAATTTAAACATAATAAAGCTCTTGACAAATCAGAGCAAAAGGACAATATGGATAAACCAATACGGAAACAAAAAGGAATAGAACCTATGAAACAGGTTCTAAAAAATCACAATGATAATAGTGATGAAGCAAGATCACCGCGAAAGATTATGCGCGATTCATTTACAAGTACAATTGGGAGTGATGTGGATTCGAATAAAAGTCCGTCATTAAATAAACCTTTAATGACATCCTTGCTTAATTCAGATCGGGATTCTTTAGAGCAATCTTCAACTGATGTGCAAGAAGAAATACCTCAATCCCCATTAATAAGTTCGGGGGGATTTTTTAGTTCATGGTTTGGATTATCATCATCTACCAAAGTTCAAAAAACTCCAAACTATTATGTAGATAAATTGTCGCAAAAGAATGTTTCACCAAAATCATTAGCAGAAAGATTACAATCATTGCGTTTAACGTTAACTACGGCAAAATTATCGTGGATAAAGAGTTTTATTGATGACAATGGATTGGCAGCATTGGAATGTGTTCTTGAAAGATATACGGCAGGAACAAGGAGAATTATTCTAAGAAATTCCGATCATGATGATAGAATTTATTCAGAATGTGTCCGTTGTTTAAGAGTTCTTCTCAACACAGAGGTTTATTATCTAAATTTTTTTTTTTTATATATATATACATTACATGAATTCTCTATTCTGATAATTTTTTATTATTTTCTATTAGTCTGGATTTAATCAAGTATTAAATTCCACATCATTGATACATAGTATAGTATTTTGTCTTCATACACAAGATAATAAACTGAGATCACAAGTAGCGGACGTCTTAGCTGCTATATGTGTAATATCTCTAAAAGGTCATGAATTAGTATTATCAGCATTTTCAGATTTTAGACAAATTTATGAAGAAAAATTTAGATTTCAATATTTAATTGAAACTTTAAGAGGAAAAAAAGAAGATAACAGCACTTTAATGGAACATAAGACCGCTTATTTAAGATTAATTAATGCCATCGTTAATTCACCTGAGGAAGTTGAAGAAAGAATGTTATTGAGGGATGAATTTTATAGGAGAGGGTTGTCAGAAGTATTTGCCGTATGTGTATATAAGTTTGTCAGATTTAATTATATCGAATTAAAAATGTTTTGACAAAAATTTATCATTTTTGTTATTTAGATTTTTAAAACTTCTAATCCACCTGAATCATTATTAACGCAAATTCATTTGTATGAAGAAGAGAATCAAGATGATTTAGAAGAATTATATGAAAAAGTTCATGATATTGTAAGAGATGCAGAGTATGTTATTTGAATCCTTTCCTTGCTTTTGAATCTTTTAAGTTATTATGATCTGATATCATTACAATTTTATTTATAGTGATCCATTCTCTGTAGTTATTGAACTTGTAAAACAAGTTGAATATGATTATGGTTTGTATTCAAGAATTATTGAAACTCTAAAAAATTTCTTAAGAATTGCTTGTAAGGATTTAGAAGAGTAAGTATTTAAATTTTGGATTATTCGTATTTACCAAGAACCAATGATATTTAATAATTAATTATATTTTGTAGCGATGATCAGAATGATATTTTGAATATTATGGAATTATTTATTGAAAGAATAAGTTCAATAACAAATATTAAAGAAGGTATGTATATCTACCTTTATTATGATAGATAATTAAAAAGGTGATCTAAAAATCATTATGACCGGATGATTTATTTATTTTGATTATTAGAATGGCCGATCTTTATGAATGAATTTTTCTATTCAATTGGTGATATAGTAGGACAATATTCTGTAATTAGTGGGAATATTACAAATGATCAAATTGATGAAATGAGAAGTCAATTAAATGAACTGAAATCCAAGGTTTGTGTAATAAGCAAAATTATATATTATATATTTCAATTTATTATTTGAAAGTCGGTAAGTTATTTAAAATTTTTTTTTTTTTTAGGTTGAAACTTTAACAAAAGAAAAAGATGACATATTAGAACAAATAGAATTGAATAAAACTTCAAATATATCTGTCTCGAATATATCAAATAATTTAACATCAAATGCAAAATCTAATAATGACGAACACGAACATCTTGTTAATAACTTGCGAGAT